GTGGAACGGAGAAGGGCGAGCAAAACCGAAGCGTGTGATCGGTGGTGCGTTTGAAGACCACGTATTACCCGTGCAGCCACGCAACTTTTAAAATAATGTTAAGTGATCCGAAGACGCTCTCGTTTACATTAACGTGAGAAAACAGTTGTAATCTCGGTAACTATTAAGTATTAACCATTTGTTCGCGTTCGACTATCGCACTCTTTATGAGGGGAAAATGTTCGTTTTTTATGATAGGTGTGCCGCGAATATTCAAAGATCTAAATAGTGTGCCGAGACATAAAAAAGGTTGGGAACCACTGCTATAGATAATTGCAATACGCGCTCCAATGCTCCAAGCTTCAATGAATTATCATTGTATTTTATTAAACAACTGAATAAAGTATACAATAGATATCTCAAATATTAATAGATTAATGATATTCTCTATAGTCTATACCAGTGGTTCCCAACCTTTTATGGCTCGTGGCCCCCTTCTGGCGCCCTTTTGCACTCGTGGCCCCCTGTCCGTCATTCCAAAAACTAAACGTGCTGGATTGTATTATGTTTTTACGACCTATTATGGAATGCAAAAGTAAACCACAGACAAAGAAGTAAAATCTATCCAGTATACAATCAAAAGAAATCTTGCGCTTGGGACTGTCCGACGAGGTTTTTTATATGAGGCGCCGTCTTTTACATATAGCTAGACAAATGTCATAGTCAACATCAAGACGGTTTCTAGGTTTTGTGTTGAAGGTAATAATATCAGAAAAACCATAACCAGGCTTTTCCTCTGACAAAAACCCGAACTTGTCCAATATTGCTTACCTGTCAGTGTCAAATCTAACTTGGTTGGCAGCAAATAAATTGATGCCCACTTCTTCCACCGGTGAATGATTTTTGTCACGATGGTTTTGGAGTTTTGATTTATTGCTCGTTGCATACGAACAATGCAAGCATTGAGCACATTCTCTGCCATCTCGATTTACTTTGGTAAAGCCAACGTAACTGTCGTTTCATTCTCGTATTTTGGGCATTAGTAATTTACAAATGGGTTTTTGCGTCTATAATACGATAGCAACGGTTATCTCGCAGTCTCGTGGAACTGCCAGTCTGCAAGTAAGGCGGCCTACTGGGGAACTATTTTGATTGGTTGATTTCAAATTTCATTGTGATCAAACAATTCACGCTAAAGAACGTGGATACACCCTGTGATCGCAAATAACCTATTCAGGTAATGAAACTGCGATGAACTCCTAAACGTAAAATTTCATTTTAGAAGGAGCGTATGCAAACAATGTCGCTTTATGATCAATTATTAGCCTTGTGTCGTGGCTCTCTTCAAACTGCTCCGTGGCCCGCTTAGGGGACCACCGGCCGCGGTTGAAAACCACTAGTCTATACAATCCGTAATCTGCAATTTCTCAAATGATTGGCAGCTCGGATCTGTAATTTTTCTCGCGTTTCAATCCCTCAACTAAATTAATACCTGTCGAATAATTTCCAGTTTTTCCTGCCCCACCACTAAAACCACTAAAATATTATACATTATTGTATATATTGAAATTTGATCAAAACATTTTTGTAGATTGAGGATAATATTTAATTCAATTGTGTGATAGATTTTTAACTTGGTACTGTATAAACAATACACATAGTTTTTTAATTCTAGGAATATTTTTGTGTTAAAAAAATTGTATGCACAAAGCATGTAAAAATGAAATACTAGATGTACCAATATCACTTTTGTCCCCGACACCGGTACCAACAAAATAGCACAGATCAACAATCATGTCTAGGAGACACTGAACACTGAAATAAAACTATGATATGGGAAAATGCGATACACATTTATTAATAATATAAGAATAGTAAATGGTTGCGTAACTGAGTTTTAAAAAATTGGATATGTTGAGTCTTTAATACTAAAACAGGGTGGTCCAAACCCAGTCCCAGCGCCACATGTGGCCCGCCGCTTCATTATCTGTGGCCCGCGTCGCATTTGCGCGAGGGTAAACAAAAAATCGCATTTGATGTTGTTTCCTCATAAAAATAACCAGAAAAATATTTTAAAATATTGTTACATCAATAATGTCACTGAATTTACTAGTGTTATGGCTAGCTGAGGCAACTAGCAAAGTTGAATGATGTGCTTGGCAGTCTAAATTTTTATCTGGCTTTTTATTTTTTTGGTCGGGAATATAGGCTGACAAAATAGGCTTCATAGAAAACTAAAAATAGAATGAGGAATCTATTAGCCTAGATTGGCCATGCCTGATGACTAAATATTAATGTTATGGCCAAACGATACAATTCCCGCCGGGTGGTTTTTTGTAACCAGCCTAAACAGTATTACAAACAATGCTGCCTATATGTCCGAAAATTAAGTAATCAGGGTAATTACTGTATCGTAAATTTGGTAAAATTCGGTAATCAATCAATCTGCAGTTACTTGTAAGTTATTTTGTGAACATGAGTTTAAAAATAAAGCTGACCAATTGAAACATTTTGACTGGGTGTGGGAGGGAAAATATCACAATGCTTGCTTGATATGTCCGCAAGTTGTGTCGGTGACAATCTAATACGACACTTTCTCCGTATGATATCCTAATAAGAAACGGTGTCGAAACTTCTTCCAAAACAGATTTATCGTTCGATGGAGTTGATTGAAAAAGAAGAGCCCATTTGCACAAATCCTCGAACTTAATGCTTGTTTGGTATTTGCAATCGGTTCAGAAAACATGATGAATATCGTGTAGAGACACTCCAAAACTTGTTACCTTTATAATGTTCCGCGGATTAGCCCCTGCATAGGGTATTACTTCCACTGGTGCTAGAGTATCTGACACTATTGTTTATACTCACTTGACCACTGCTGTACCATTAACGACGTAACATCAAGTTGATAGGTGGAATTGAATTTAGTGGATGGGTCAAATAATTGTTATTGTCGTTTTACTACAGGCTAGATGTGAGAAAAGATTTTGTTAGAGACAGTCCAACATCTGATTTCAATCTTAAATCTCAAAGTAATATTACCAATCGGCACAATACTTGTCTCACATGCATGTTGCCTAACAGTCCTTGCAATATACAACCGCAAGACTGTTCGCCTTTTTCATCTGAAATCTAAAAAAAAAATCGATTTCTGAAAGATTATATTTCCATGATTTGCGTAATCGCTATATTTGGATGCAGTTATAACTGTGGATAAAATTCTCGGTTTCAATTGTGGATTCAATTCCAAATTGTTTCGAATACATTAACCAAAAATCGGGGTAAAAATAATTTGATACCAATGGCAAAAAAAATTACCTTTAATTAAATTACCTTTATCTAAAATAAAGACACTCTGAAAACATTTTTTTCGCCGAATAAGCCAAAAGCCTAATTTATGTTAAAAGTATCAATACAAGTAAATTGAAAACAGACATGTCATAGTAGTCGTTCGGAAAGGATTTTGAAAAAGTAGTCTAGAATGGAAATTCATAGTTATGTTGTATGTTATTATTTATTGCCAAAACCATTTTCACGTAATCTCAAGAGTTCTAATTTAGGATATTTATACATGACAAAGCAGCACGCGTCTCATGATGACTGCGAAGAATAATATAATTATTATAAAATAGTGGCTATTTCAATTTTCAATGTTTTAACTGTAAATTTCCTGTGTTATATTTTAAAACTGCTGTCAATAGGCAATAAATCATTTACTGTAGTACTTAATTACTCGTACACAGAGATCAAAATATTTTAATCAATCGTTCGCAATAACGCTTTCAGTGAATTTAGTATATTGCGCTCTACTCCACTGCAGAATTCTCGAAAAAGAATACTCTTGTTGAATAGAAAAGTGTAAAGAAGAAATTTTGTGCATTGGGAAATAGTGAAACAAGTTATATGAATATGTAAAATGTTTGATAATGGTTGAAATATTTTTTTTTTTTGTAAATATTATCAAAAATTGAGAATTTAAATTGAACAGGTGCGAGAAAAGCCTTGAAAATAAAGAAATCAGAAACGATCATTTCGTTAATTTCCATTTAACCTCTCATTGCGTGAGTGATGCTTGGAACTTCTATTCCAGTGGTCTACTACATTTTTACGACCAACCATCCTGCTTTCAGCAAAATCGTATAAAAAATATATTTCTTACTGTTTAGATAGATATTGGATCAAAAGTTCAATGAAATGCTTTGGTTTTCATGCCTCTAATTAGACATAAAAAGGAATTATACGTTCTCATACAACATTATTGAGTAAAGAGTATTTGATTTTAATTCGTTTAGAGGACAATTATCTTTCCAATTCATTTGGAACCAGTAAAATATTATGTAGCGGTCTTATAGAGGTTTATCGGTAATTCATATGGCATACATGCGAATTTGTGTTCGCAAGTAATTTTCATAAGATCCAGTACACATAGTCGTCAAGTAAATGTCTTTATAAACGGGTTGCATGAGTAATGTTCAATACGACAGAACAGAATCTAGGATTATAATACTTGCGGAAAAGAAACAAAAGCAGTTTTTTATTGGATAAATATCTGTTACCCACATATCTTCTTTCCATAATAAAAATATCGATTGTTGTTATCTGTTTTAGTTACAGTTTTGGCAAACTCAGTTTTTAGTTTTCAATGCTAGAAATAAAACCCACGTTGCCCAGAAGTACTAGCAGAAATTTATTTTATTAAAAAAAAAACTGCATATATTTTATCAATATTTTTTATCATTTATTTTGATTCCAGAAATTATAAGCAATGCTAATATAAGATATACGTATGGTTAGGAAATGCAAAGATTACTACTATGCGGCTTTTTCAAAATATGTACTAAAACAGTATATCCCATAAATCCTTTGTGAAAAATCGCAACTTTTGTCCAGTATTAAACAAGTTTACTGATCACTTTTTAGAAATAATAATCACACTTTTATTTTATATACATTTACCATCAGACAAAATAGTTTAAAATGCATGGATTTATATTCATAATATATATCAACTAATATAACGAATTATAATCTTCCGAATAAAAATGGCAAAGGTTAAAATAGAATTCTTGAACTTAAATTAGGACTTGGCATTGAATAACACCAGTAAAATAAGTACAATCCAACAAGGACACTTAAAGTTTGGACTAAGGTATATCTCTTAACTCTCGAGGCAAAGTTGTTTAACACAGTCCAATGTCATATGACGATTTGTTACAGACTCAAATCCTGGGTTCTCAATATATTCTTGTATATTTATAAATACTAACACTTTTTCTAGTGCATGTTGAATCATATTTAAAATAAAATTTCTTCACAAACAATGTTGCCTCGCAATCTATCACATCCCTTTCATTGCGGATTTCTTCTTCTGAAGATGTTGCTGATTGATTTTTCTTTAAACAAAAACAAACGTTAGACATATATTGCATGTAAATTCAATATAAATTGTTGAAGCTATGAAAAATCAAAAAATATCTGAGGAACTGTAATGCGCCTTTGCGATTTATGTTTGGCCGGGAAAATTGAAACCGGGTTATTTGGTTTTTGCTCTCAACATTTATGAGAACTTCTAATGAAAAGCCCCAGGTGAGCAACCAATTACATTGGCAACAATACAAAATTGTGTACTCCCGAAATATGTGTACCAGGTTAGGATTGGGCGGCAATTTTTATTCCGATTTTCCTTATTTTAATTTATTTACGAGTTCGGGGATTGTCTGTATTAGCCATTTATTTTTTTAATTTTGTATTTGTGAAAATGGGGATATTCTAATTTGGGTTTCTAATTGTGTTTTTGTGGGAAATTGTGACATAGAACAGTAACATAGCAAGTTCAGTATAACAGAATTTGGAGCTTTTTCTTGTGACTTTGATATTTCCAGGGATGTATTCGTTATATTTTGTGTAAGAAATATTTAGGAAATTAAGACAAACGCATGTTGAATAATTTTTTAGTAGTCATAATGACTTGAATAAATCCTAAATCATTAAAAAAAAAGAAAAAAATTTTCTTCCGGGGTTCGCAACTATAGTCCAAGTCTATTTTTTGAATAGTCGATATAAATAGTCGCCCATTGTTCAATCATTGTCCTGTAACTCATTATTTTACATAGATTTTTCACATGGAATACAAGAAAAACATTTTTGGAAACATCGGAAGCACAAAAAATAGCATTAACTTGTTTGAATAATATATAATATAATATTAAGTTTTATGCTGTTTCATATTACAATTTCCCCCAAAAAATTGATTTTGGGAAATTACCCACTTTCACAAAACTAAAGTTTAAAAACAATATTTTTGGTTTTTCTTACATTTTCGGGCGAAACCAATTAGGGAATAATCATAATTAGAAGTTAAGAACAAACATTGTGGTAGACAGTGTTTTCATTGGTAAATAAGTTGACCCTAATTATAATTCATGTAGAATCTGTGTAAAAACGGTTGAACTTCGGATTCCAAAATGACTTCTTTAATTGAATATTACTAGATAGTAACTACTTTCACTCTGTCTTATTAGTTAGACTTACTTATGCGTTGAATTTGTGAAGGCCGGACAGGTGCTGATTGACAACGATCCTTAGAGCGAATTATCAGCTGAAAAAATAAAGAAAAAGGCTTAATAATATTTTTTGGAATATTAGTATTGCATTGAAGTTTCAATACAAATCATAAAAAATCATTTCATTAACTTTAAATTCAAGCTTGTTTTATAAGCGACGTGCTTAAAATTAAATTCTTGTGACTCCTCTTTTCAGTGAGAGTTTTAAAACGAAGGTATACAGATATACATTTAAGATCAGCTATTAAATGCTTAAAATTTTAGAGCAAATTAAATAGAATGGAATCGATGTATAAAAATTATGCCTGGTCCTCGTTTATCTGAACATGTCTTAACTCAAAAGGTTTCGTTAAACTCACTTCGTTGTTTAATGGTATCTCGTCCGATTGAATCGCATCGACACTGGATTGGTCAATTTCCCATCCGTCAGGAAATAATCTTTCTCCCACAATACTAAACAGCTGGAAGAGGTTTTTTGCTATATTTTGGGATGGCTCGTTTTCCTCTTCCAGAATGAGTTTCCGGATCTGCATAATTTGATATTGACATGACAGTACGTATAAAAACAAAGAAAAATAGATTCCGTATCTAAAATATCAATATATATATATATATATATATTGAAAAATGAATCGCAAAAACTGTATGTGATTATTTATTTATACATTTATTTTATGTGAATAATGTTTCATTTGGGTTGCTTTTGAATATTGGTTCAAATTTGATAATAGTATATAATCGAATGAAGCTAACATGATTAAAAAAATATTTCCATTTCATTATATGTTTGTCTAACTATATATATATGTCGGGGTATTTAGGGCTTTGGTATTTAGGGCATTCCTAGAACTAGAACCCAAGTTTAGCTTGGTCTATTCGCCTAGTTCGGAATACTACAGAAAAATATAATAAAATACACGTTAGAAGGTGACACAGATATGTAATACGTAAATTTGAAAGTTTTAAACACCATAATACACCAGCCGAAATTTAAACCGAAACCGTTAGTATTGGGTTATAAATTCATTAAATGAAATATTTCTAAGACAATTTCCGCATACAAGATTATAAATACTTGCTGCTGATTACGGGTGTTGAAATATTACAATTGTTAAAATATTCTAATCAGGTGTTTTACACTTCGAACAGGGCTTTAGAAAAACAAATTTCATCCATTAAATACATTATTTGAAGTGGAATTGCAATCACATGCCTTATATTAACAGAACATTTAACTCCACAATGATAGATTCAATTGAATCAACTAAGTCAATTGTACTCGTAAAAATAGGTTAATTCCCGTAATCAGGAGGGAGCCTCCATAATTTTCAGAATTTTTATGCATAACTGCGTAATTACGAATTTCGAAATTCTATCTACTTTCATATGTTTTTTTGAATTGTCAAATGTCAATACTTGAATATTGTAAGAAAAATCGTCGTATACTTCGCGTACATGATGGAACACACAAACAACTAATTCCATTAGGAAGTTTTCTTGCGGGCGTAAAACAATTGTTTGAACAATATCGATTGAAGCAGAACAAAATGCAAGGTTAATAACAAAGTGTCTTTGTCATTTCATATTAAAAATGTAATGTGAATGAATGTGCATTCGTTGCAAAATATGCGTTTCTGACTGAACTCTGATAAACTATGCTGAAGAATATTTATAGTATATTTCAAGATCGTTTGAAGTCCTCGATTGGAATAAGTTTCAGCATTTGCACAATTAAAAACTTCTGTTCTTGATATTCTAGTTGGCATAGCCGATGTAACAAGAAAGAAAATATTTTTATAGTTTCAAAATGACAATACCTTTAGATAGAAGAACAATAAGATATACGCAATATCTAAGATGTAAAAAAAATAAACTGATTTTACTGCAGTTTTAATAGAAGTGCCGTTGTTTTCGCATGCTTCTATTTCTGCTTAGCGTTAAAAAGAATACTATACAGTTGAGGAGTGGTTGACTTTAGACGCCACTCTTAAATTACTACTGCCTAACAAGTTATAAAATGGATTTTCGGACGATACTGTGAACGAGACATCTTCTTTTGTTACATGAGTCTCGTACTACAATATCTCAACGACCGATATTAGCAGTTTTTGTACCGGATAGTTTCATAAGTCCAATCCGTTTGAGCGCGTAAATAAAAGGTGCTTCAAGGTATAACATTTTAGAGAATTTTATTCGTCGAGTCATTATTTTCAAATAGTTGAGGTTACTTTTAAAACAGGGGTTGGTTCTATTTAATAGCGCATATTTAAATTGATCGAATTTTAGTATAAATGTTAACACCTGATTAGAACTGAAATACATAAATACTTCTGAATGCAAAAAACTTAATTGATGAGTTTTATAGACCATAGGTTCTCAACGTGCTTCGGGAAAGAAGTCCAGGATCTCGTTGAGCCAAACCTATAGGAGCTCCGCGAGCTATCCGTTTACTTATTCAAAATACCGATTTGGCTGATACTGTAACTGCCCAAAAACGTAATAAGGGCAGTAATAAAATTTGACAACGATGGCGTAGAAATGCGGAAACAAGCGGCAATTAAAATGTGATATATTATCCATAGCAGGAGGGTCGATCCGCATGCGGCTCTTGCGTCGGTTTTATGCGTCTCTTTTCGCTTCCCTCTAGTCTCAGATGAGGCTGCAACTGAGTTTAAGATCATCGATCTTTCTAGAGAAGACCAAATTAAATGCGCTTTAGGGGAAGGGGCTATTGACTTTTGGCAAAGCATGCCAATTTCACATGAAATCAAACCATTGATCTGTTATGACTGAAACCCATGTGTAAGAACTTCTTCGATTAGCTACAACGACACACAAGCCATACTTAAAGAGCATTGTTCAATCCAAGTAACGCCAGTAGTCCCACAAGTAGCATGCATAACAATAAATGGCTTGTAAATTCCTGTCATGAACATGTTTGTTATTGACATTTACAATAACTAGCATTTTAGCAAATCTGAATAAAGGTATATCTGATGTTAATGTGTGTTCTTGTTTATATCTTATTAACAAGATTGATAATTATTTCGACCCCATCTCAACAGGTCATTTATGGCCACTTATGGCTTGTTAGAATATTTTTTGATCGACGAGTTTGATTGTCCTTGGATCTGCTGTTATACATTTCCAACCGTCCCAATTTCAAGGTCTGTGCTCAGGGGCGAGGCCAAGATTTTTAAAAGGGTGGAGTAGGTTTTTGCAATATTTAAGTGCAACGGCTGAAACCGTCGCCACGATTATACTACTGGTTAAAATAGAATAAATCAATTATGAATATAATGCCAAAGAATAAAGCATGTTTTCCCCACTGTTTGTGGACATTATTTTCCAAGGGAATAGTCTTATTTTTATTTGATCGAACTTTAGAAGACATTATTCCACTTATGTATATATTTATATACACCAATATTTCCGAATGCAAAAACTCAAATATTTCATAAATTCCAACTTAATATATACTAGTGTAAAGCACGCATGTATGGAGAATATGGTTCCAATATCTTTCAATCCACGTACATTTGCACCCGTAAATATGTACAAGTGATTTGCACCCACGGACATTTGAACCCATGAACAATTACACTCGCAGAATTTTGTACCCACATACAGATTGCACTCGCAGACATTTGAACCCATGTACACTTGAACCCACGAACATTTGCACTTATGAACGTTTGCACTCAAGTAAATTTGAACCAACGTACAATTGCACCAAAGACATTTGCACCCGTTGGCATTTAAACCCACGGATATTTGCATCAATGGACACTTGCACCCATGGTATTTTGCACCGTAAACATATACACCCATGGATAATACTCTTTGAAGTAGAATGTAGGTCCTATTGTCATTTGTGCGAAATAGCGACATTCTAATGCTATGAGTAGTAAGAAGACCAACTCACTGCAATCCCGAACGCGATTAATTTGGATTTTCATCCATTAACAAAGACCGAGGAAAACAACCAGCATCGGTATATACACCATTTTGACACGATAATATAAAAACTAAGGAAAGTGCTGTAAACAACTTGTTCCGAAATCATGCTTTCGTCGAGTCGAAGTCGTTTCTCGCTCTTTGTTTTTCTCACATTTATTCGTCTTTCTTAAAGCACTTCTCTCTTGTTTTGTACACTTAATTTAACACTGACCTGACTAATTCATTTACGAACACTTTCCTTCCCAATCGTCTAATAAGCATCGCAAATTCGACTACGTTTGCGTTATTTCATCGACAGAAAATGACCGATAAAGTGGGCAAAGATTATAACTCGCAATGACAGTAAGCACGTAGCGACCCTCACCAAGAATAGGGCTACTTAAAATTGTAATCAGTTTCCATTTCGAATACTTATTTATTGAAACAAGGTAATTGAAACACGGTTATTTGCGAACATGACTATGGGTGCGTTTATGAGGCACATGCATATGCGTGAGAATGTCATAGGTCCAAAAGTCCGTGAATGCAGATGTTCATTGGTAAAAATGTAAGTGGGTGCAAATGTCAATTAGTGGAAATGTACGTGGGTGCAAAAGTACATGGGTGCAAATGTACATGGATGCAAATGTTTGTGGGTGCAAAATTTCATAAGTGCAAATGTTCGTGAGTTCAAATGTCCGCGGGTGCAATCTATATGTAGGTGCCAAAATCTATGGGTAGAAATGTATGAATGCAAATGTCCGGGGGTTCAAATGTCGGTGGGTACAAAGTATGCAGTGTAAATGTCCCGGGTGCAGTTTACGGGTGTAAATATGCTGTCACCGAAGAATATAATCAAAAACACACTCTGATACGATTAATTTTTAAAACTAATTAAATAATAAAAGTTTGTACTACGATATTCCAATTTCTTACTTTCAAATTGGAATCAGTTGCTCCTTGTGCAAATGCCTTCAGTTTTTCAATTGTCAGATTGCAGTCGTTAAACTGCACTTCACTTGTTTCAACAATTGAAGCAATTTGTGCAAATATATGAAATGCTTCGAACTCCATGGTCTTGTCAAATAGGTTTAAAGAATTGATCTGCAAAATAAATATGAAACTATTCAATACAATTGAGCAATAAACTTGTTAGTTTTAATTACTTTGAAAGCAAATATATGAGCAAATATAATTATATTAGAACGTGTACTCGTCGCGAAAAATGCTTTTTTAAAATATACTGAACAGTCACAAGATTGCAACAATATTTAACAAATATTTTACTTTTCTTTCTCTAAAATGAGTAGCGTATCTGCACATTTAAAACCACTCCCTTGACGCGTACATCTTGTTGTTCTATGTGACATAGCCGAACAATATACTCATAAGTATAAGATACGACGCCAAAAACACACGGCAATTTTTTTAAATAGTTTTAATGCCTACATACATTTACAATGATATTAACAGCGGAAAATGGGAAACAAACTTATTGAAAAGAAAATGTTTGAAAGGCTAAATCAAAAATTTATTTAACAATTTAACATAGTTTACCGCGAATAGCTTTATATATTAGAGACAGCGAACCACCATCATTTTTCAGTAACCCACCAGTTACGAACTGAAGGTGACGGACATTTGCACCCCACCGCCGTACATTTGCACCTGCTGACATTTGCACCCGCGTACATTTGCACCCACAGACATTTTCACCACCGTACATTTGCACCCCTGTACATTTGCACCTGCTGACATTTGCACCCGCGTACATTTGCACCCACAGACATTTTCACCACCGTACATTTGCACCCCTGTACATTTGCACCTGCTGACATTTGCACCCGCGTACATTTGCACCCACAGACAGTTGCACCCACTTATAATTGCACCCACATATAATTGCACCCACAGACATTTGCACTCATGGGCATTTGCACCCACAGACATTTGTACTAGCACTAATGGACATTTGCACCTATCTCCATTACAAACTTCAATTACCAACTATAAATATATATTCGAAATGAAGACGGAATCCAATTTACGGTGGTTAGTAGATGATGACGAAAAACGTGGTTATACATAAATCAATCCAGTCAGTGTTAAATAAGCGAAAAACAGAAAGATAGAAACGACCTCGAGTCGGCGAAAGCATGAGTTATATGAAACAAGTTGTTTACAGTACTTTCCAATTCCCACTATTTATTATTACGTCATAACAGTGTCTATACGGTTGCGGGCGGTTTTCCTCGATCTGTGTTAATGGATGGAAATCAAAATTAATCCCGTTTTGGTTTGCAGTGAGGTCGTCTTCATTACTATTCATAATTCATTAGGATGTCGCTATTTCGACGCGAATGACAATGAAACCTCTTTTACTTCGAAGACTGTTATCCACGGGTGTGAATGTTTGCGGGTGCAAAAGTTTATGGATGCAAGTGTCCATAGATGCGAATATCTGTGGGTGCAAATGTTAATGGTTGCAAATGTACGTGGGTGCAATTGTAGGTGGGAGTAAATCTACGCGGGAGCAAATATCCGCGGGTGCAATAGTCCGTGGGTGCAAATGTTCATGAGTACAAGCTGTATGTGAGTTTAAAAATCTGCGGGTGCAAATGTATGTGTGCAATTGTCCTGGATGCAAATTACGGGTGCCAATGTACGTGGGTGCAAAGATAATGGAACTGAATTGAAACGTGTATAACAACATTTCAGCAGCAGAAATTGATAATAAAACCAGCTGCAGGGGATACGAGGGATATGAGAACTAGATGACACTTTGCCAATTATTTTTCGACGCATGCAATGCCTTTGAAAAACAAAATATTATTGACTTAAATTAACTACTACAGAAATGTGTAATAACAAGGGAGTGGGCTATTTATGAATTTAATGCGGTTTAGCCGCAAAGATGAAACAGAAAGTTTGTCGGTGATGCAAACTTTGATTGAATATCTATGACCCACATTAACACAGTCTTCTTTTCAACAAAAAAAATATAAATTCTAAATAAGTTCGCCATTCCTGTTATATATCATCGTAAAATCCAGGACAAAAATTCGAGTATGGCACAATGGTAATTTAAGAATGAATAATTGAATGATTCAACTTCAGTAACGACGGCATGTTTTAGACAGGGCTCAATGCGTGCGACTCCGGAAATTTGTCAATGTAGCATTTTTAATGATGACCCCAAAACAAAATTTATTGTGTTTTTCTATAAACTTGTATAAATTAGAGTTGTGGATTCACTCCTTTGTTTATATATTTTGGTTGTCGCCACGCGTGTGTCTAGAGCAGGGGTGGCAAACCTATGGCGCATGCGCCAAACGTGGCGCATTGCATGATTAGAGGTGGCGCATTGCATCTTTAACCCTTTTCATGCCAAAATTGGAAGTTGTACTTGGCTTCTCCACGCCAAGAAGTTTTTTTGCGATTTACATGGTGACTTTTGATTGTATCTAAAATCTATTCTCCTTACTCCACGTCGCCCACTTACGGCTTGTTGGAATTAGAAACAACAGGCGATTATCGACGTTAGCTTTTGGACGGACTTCATGACATTCATTCTAGACTTTTAGCAAAAATTAGTAAAATTTACTATTTTTCCCCTACTGAAGTAAAAAGTTCAGAACTTCTGGAAAAATAGAAAATCGTCATTTATCAGCTTGAAACATGGATTTTCCATTGCCCAGAATTCCAAAAATTCTCCCAATAACCATTGTACAACCAGTTGAATTGCCCAAGCCTAAAAAATTTATTATAAATCAACCCACAACATGCTGAAAATGACCCCTAAATACCACCTTTTTCATCCAAACTCCAAATGACCGTTGTTAACAAAAGCGAAACGTAAAATCGCTTGCTGTGACGCAAGTACTAATTTCGAAAAAGCCTGGAGTAAAATCACGCAACGCTAGGCCAAACAGCTGATTAGCGAAAGTAAAACAGCAGCAAAAGTCTCATAAAGGCGGTACATAAATAAAATTGATCAGTTTTATTTATTATACTTCCTTGCTTAATTTCTATTCATGTGAAGTTGTAAATTGTAAAAACTACATATACGTGTGTATATATGTGTGTGTAATATAAATTTTTATATTTTCAACAAGAAGCGGACATTAGGCGTGGGAATACAAGAGATTTACGGCGCATCTGAAACATTATGTTTAAAACGTGGCGCATGGTATGTGAAAGGTTGGCCACCCCTGGCCTAGAGGAATACCTAAATGAATTTGCAAAAATATAGTTCACCGACATAATACCAATGTTCACGACCTAAATACGTCACGCTCACGAAAACGATCGGTGATTATATCAAATTATTCATGTGGAAATCGCAAGCGTCTTAAGCTAATTCTTCAACCCTCCCTAAAATCTTGAAAAAGGGATTCGTACCAGTTTCATTGAATCTATTATACGTCATAATATGATTTTGAAAATTTGCTCAATATATCAAGGTGTTACACGCAAATTTTTAAATTGTGCAAAATACGAGATTTTTAGCTATATATATGTATATACGTTAACAAACCAGATAAATTGGATAGTAAGTTGAGGACCACCAAAGTTGTAATAGAACTTCATGTCACAGAATCGACGATATAATAACCATTTCTGGTCGCGAGGTGATAAATAAAACATTAATATTAAAAATTATCATTCGAGTTATTTGAAGTATACGGGATTACAATAAAAACACATTCGAAAATAACAAGACAAATTTAAATATTCTAAGATTCGTTTTTGCTTAGATAAATTATTATAGCTATTTAATAATTATAAATCCTAATTGAACCGCCCTCCCTATGAGCCTCTTGCATATCGTTCCTAAAAATATCATAACTTTTTGATCAAACGTGCGAAAAACCTCACTGAAATGTTGTTGGAAAGCCTATTTACTCTGCTTTATGCCATTCTCAAGACATGTGCGCCTTTCGCTCAACCATGTGACGTTGAAAATGAAAGAAAGCGAGATCGACTCGACAACAAAGTCTTTCGAAAAATAGCATTACGTCACCACTCCAACGAGTCCAGACTTGCCTTCTGAAGCGCAGCGGAACGCTAAATATTCAAGATACGAAGAGCGCATGTTTTTCCGAGATGTTGCGAGCTAGCGGAATCTTTGTTTGTTTATTTGTGTACGGGTAACGATAGCTCGCTTTTTACGAGCGGAAAACGATTGCTAGCTCGCTCAAATTACTTTCTTTCAAGTAATAACAGATTCTTTGTATATTTATTAGCTTTCAAATACTTACAGTCATAAAACTCGTGATAAAAATAAATAATGGCGCGCTACCGTGATTACAAACACTCGGACAAGCATATATCATGCTTGAAACCGACGCAAAAAGGTCTTATTACTTTTGTTTTGGCATACTCCACGATAAGACGTGTACGTAAAGGATGTTAACTCTTACTAACCAATCATGCTAGAACCATATTATTATAGGTACATAGGTTGCATCCCGATTTTATCGAATTTTAGAAAAAAAAAAAAAATCCATTTTTGGGTAAAAAGTGATAAATTGATTCAAATTAGTCTATTTTGTTAGGTTTTTATTTTTCTAATTTTCAAAAAATTACATTATTCAACTCTATCTAAACTCTATCTAATTTCAATTTTGTAAGCAAAAAAATAATTAAATTAATAACCTGATTATAAAATAAATCAGTATCAAATGTAAGAATTACTGAAATGGTATACTTTTTGAACCAAAATTTCAAATTGACTTTAAAATGAATTGAAGTTTGAAATTGGACTAAGTGGCCCCTGGGCTTTGACTAATTGTTAAGTTGGGCTTTAGTATACTTTGACCAATTGTAAATCCGGCAACATGGTCCACAGAACAATTGTAGGAGGTCGTGATATTTACCGACATATTATAAAACAGGGCCCATTCAAATTTTTTGATAGATATAAATTAAAATTTGCGCCACAATACGAAATAACCCAAATTATTTTGCACAATTCGTCGACTATATATACTTTAATATATGTTTTTTCATAACTATCCGTATGAAACCGTAAAATACGTATGATTTTTAAATAGTTTCAGCATTGACATCAGCGTTTAGTGTTTGTTTTGTATAATATGCTTGTTCGCGATATGCTTGAAAAAGTTTTCGTTTTGTTCGGAACTGTACTTTGAATAAATTCTCATTCCTGATAATATCTAAATTATCCGAAACTTGAAGATAAGAAATAAAAAGCAAATGAAGACTTTAATATTTCCTCTTTTTCAGAATTGTTGCGCATATTTCAGTCAATGAGCCAAAATTACAAATATTATAAATTAATGATTAATCGGAGTTGATCAAAACAAAGCTTTATCCCAGTAAATCCTCGTATAAATCGTATGTTTAAATTTCATCTGGCGTAATTCGCATTCAAAAAGACATTGAAACAAACTATTAACAAGTTTTCAAAAAATAATTTTTTTTTTAACTCCTTACTTTCAAGTCACAATCAATGGCTCCCTGCCTAAATATATTTAGTTCTTCACTTGTCAGACAGTTGGCAAACATCATATGTTTTGCTTTTGTAATTGAGGCAACTTCAGCGATATTGTGGAAAGCTTTGCACTCCATTGTTTTGTATGCTATGATGATACAATTGATCTGTAAAATAAATACATATTATTAAGAACAACTTTTTCTAATCGTTTTGATATCGCTTCAAATAGGATATATTCAGCAAATGATAATGACATTAAATTGAGCATTCAAAATAATGAGCACTCAATGAGCAAAAATTTATGCATCATAATGCATGCATATCGGCATGTCAGAGGACATTTGATATTGAAAATCTTATCAACAAGTTTTAACATTTTACTTTCAAACCAAAGTCTATGGCTCCCTGTGCAAATGCATTCAGTTTTTCACTTGTCAGATTACAGTCGTTAAACTCCACTTCATCTGCTCCTGTAGTTGAGGTAACTTGAGCAAATTTATGAAATGCTTCGGATTCCGTGGTCTTGTCAGATAGGACAAAACGATTGATCTGCAAAAATATTAATAAACTCACCATTTTGAGTAAAATGTATTCATTCGCATTTTTCCATTCACAACCTTCAGCTTTGTATCCAAGTGAATCGCAGAAAGATATCTCTGATTCAAATCCCATTCTCACCACCTTACCCGGGGTGTAATACCCAGGACAATGTCGAACGTGAAATATCAGATATTTTCAAACTCTAGTAGCTTCTAACATAACGACGGCTGCTTGTGCATAGCACTGTTCGGGTGAATGGCGCATAAATACAACGTATGGATATACAAGAAAGGTATACATATATAGTGTTCAAGAGATTATATTATATAAAAGAATGGGATGTAACGCATTTGTTAATCTATGCAAAGTAGTATCAGAACTGGTATGAATTTCCTGAAAGTGTGTGCTAATTTGATTTCATCCCTTTTTTGACACTGCCCTCATCTACGTCTTTAATTATTTCTCTTTTCTTAGAGTGTGTAAGAATCATGTTAGCCAGCTTGGGCGTATGTTTTATAATTATATTTTTCATACGTCAAACCATTGATTCGCACTAGTGGTATCCCGATGTTGTTGCTTACTGAAATAACTCCACTGAAACTGCGGTTCTATATCAGTTTATTTGCATTTTATTTTCCGCCCAGTAATTTATGTGTACAAATGAGGGTAGATCACCATAAATGTATATAAATGAATATATTAGTTTTACCCATAAACTTCAATTTAAAATGCTCATCAACAACTGTCCTTATGAAACGAGATATTCATCTGATGTCGAGTTTGCGTAATGGAGCAATCTTTATTATTAACAATGTTTCGAATTTCAAATCAACGTTCTCGTAAATAATGACGGTGAATTTATATTCTGCGTTATGCAATATAAAATTCTTTGCTCAAACATCGGATGGTATCCATTGTATAAACTTATATGAAATATCGTAGCATTGCCAGGGAGTCGTGAAACCAAAACAACAAAGCAATTGGAAATAATAGGAGATTATAATGTGCTGAAAAATTAGGTTTGTTTGTTGTAAAGCATTTTGTAATACCACTTCATACTATTTGAATTTGCCAACAATATTTTAGCGGAGAATTTTATTCGTCATATTTTAAAATCCGATAGTAATACCTTAAAATAGAACTCAATGAATGTAATACTAAATTATTTTTTGAAACAAAAATGTTCTATTTTTATTCTAAATCTCCAAACTCTTTTTACAGCTGGATCCGGTTAGCTTGGCTCTCATGCTGTGAAATGTATTTCTTCCTTTATATTTTCGATCCCTTTTCACCGAATATCTGGAGACCGAATATTTGATACCGACTCACTATGCTCGTTCTTCAACATCTACTTTGGTTTATTGAGAGATTGGTCTATGTTTCAATGCAATATAAATGTTGAACTTCTGTTTGGAAATAACACTTCCTCTAAAATAAACTTACTATGTCTATTTACCCTGTTCCAGATGAGCAATCTGGCCCAATTTTGTACAAAAATTAGATATCATTGGAAAGTTCTTTTTGAGTACTATACGCTAGATGTCACTGGAGGACCGTAAACTAAAATCCGTGTTGATGAGGTCTCTCGAAACGTCAAAAACTAACAAAAATATTTTCACCTCACTCATTCTACCAGCTGTTGGACGTGGTATTCTCTTGTAAAGCTCAAATGTGCCTATACAGTTCACTGCGTATTGATTTTCTCTTTGATATGATAATAGAACAGTGCCGATAACGCTCGTCCTTCGAGCGTGATGAACATTTTCCGTTGGAAAAGTCACCGCATCGAATCAGGCCAAGCTATGATTGATCGATCGTTTTGTTGTTTGTTTGTGCGTTATGGCGTTGAAAGCTTTTGTGAGTCGTAATAAAACATTTATTATGAATCATAAAGACTTATAATCGTGAGACAAGATGAATTCGAGCAATCAAACGCTTTTGTGAACTCACTTTTTTCGGTGAGGCAGCTGCGATCAAACGACTAGATATATTTTTAAGCTCGGAGTTATCTCGACGTGAAAATAAAATCTAGTTGTCTGATGCGATTGGAAAATTCCTAATTTTTGAAAATAATTCAACAACTTTTATTTCTAACATAATTTTAGAAATTTAAAAATTACTTACTGCAGATGTTTGGCATGTAGCGTGCATATCTCTGACAGCATTTTATTCACTATATGGAAGGCAAAATAGTCCTCTAAATAGCGTAAATTTTCAACCTAATTATAATTCCTTCAAGCAAATATTTCCGAATGAAAAAACTAATTAATAAGTTCTTAGTCTTTTTTGCCTTTTGAATTTTATATTTTAATAAAATACTCGTATAAAGCCCGCGTTTAAAGAAAATGTAATAAAATGCATTCTAGTATCATTCATTCTAAACATTGATAGATATTAAGAAATTTCATCAACAATATTCCAACTTCTTACTTTCAAACCGAAATCAGTAACTCCCTGTGCCAATGCATTCAGTTTTTTACTCGTAAGATTACAGTCGCCAAACTGCACCGTATTCGCTCCTATGGTTGAAGCAACTTCAGCAAATTTATGAAACGCTTCGGATTCCATGGTCTTGTCTGATACGACAAATTGTTTGATCTGCAAATTTATTAATAATCATAATTTTTATACTCATAACATTCAGCTCTGCCAGCGAATAAATCGTAAAATAAAAACTAAAAAAATTTTGGATCAAATTTTCATCTCTTTACTTTACACTTGATGTAATAAATTGGGTAGGCAATACCCATTGTGAGAAACAGGTCTTTCCAAACTATAGTATCTCTTAAACTAGCAGTGGCTACTTGATGGAGATCCTTGTTGGGATTCAAATGCGCATAAATACATCGTATGAAAATACAATGAAGACTAAAATAAATAGTGTTCAAGTGGGAATATTAGAAAATCGCATTTGTTAGTTTTTCGCAAAAGTGTATCAGAAAGTCTCAACTTGGACTTCCTGTCAGTATCACCTAGTTTGACTTCACCGTTCTTTCCGACCATTCCTTTTTTTTGTTTTTCATTTCTTTTTTAATGTGTGTATCAATTTTGTTTGCTTTCTTCGGGTATAGGTTTTATAGCATGAACATGGTCCTAATTATCAAGTTCATTGCAGCAAGTGGTTTCCTGCGTTGGTTCGGGTCCGTTGCTCACTGAAATAAATCCACTGAAACTGCGGCATAGACTTCCATAAATATTTTTCTATCCTCAAACAGAGTTTTTATTTTGCAAAATAATCGCACTTTTCAAACTTCACCCCGCTCGACAGTAAAAGGCGAGCGCGGTATCTATTATTTATTCACTATTTTCCATCTATAGAACCCATCGCTGAGTTGTCCGAACCCTCACAAATATTCCTATGTTTGTTAAATTTGTATTTTTTGTTTTCAATAATAGACCCAGCGGGCCGTCCGTGACTAGCATGGATTCAAATTTTATATATTTTATTTATGTATCCGCCAGATCACGAACCACTTGTGGAGCATCTTACGTAAATTTTATTTCTTATGCTCCTAATTTTCCTGAAGTAGATAAGTGTAGCATTTTTTACTGATGAGCGAATAATTTCCTTGGAGATAAATCTAAATTCACACAGTAATATCGGTTAAACCACAGCCAACTTGCTTTTTATCGTCACATACAAATTTGAACTGTATTAACTATCTTTATAAAAAGTGATAATCCAAGGTTTTGAATATTCTAGGTGGCATGGGTATAGCCGTATTTATTATGTAATAGAGCAGTCTATACTAATTACAATGTCTTGAATCTCGATCCTTTTTTAGGGTCGTTAATGAAGCATAACTTCATAATTTGTGATGTTAAAACTTGTATGAAATATGTTAGTGGTGTCGTGGATCAAGGACAACAATATAAAGCTATTTAAAGGATGAACGGATTGCAATATTATAAAAGCTGAGGATTGCTTGTTAGTGTTTTGTGATAAAAACGCTCAATTATTGAAATTATTTCCAAACCTCAGTTCAGTGATGAATTTATTACGTATTACACAACCACCAATCCATGTGAATATAAGAGCGTATCAGGAATCTGCAGTTTGTTGGTAGAACTAATTTTATATTTTTTTCTTTTTCGCACAAAGTGGGCAGTCGGTCCGAAAATATTCATTTATGACAAGAAAATACAGTTCATGTTTTTGTTTTATTTAATTCAGTATTCTATTGCCAGTCAGCAAAATTATTTTATCAGATTTCCCGAGTGGAAATAGCAGAGAGCGATCGCGTGACCTCATACATATGCACGTTTGAATGGACGTAATTTTTCTATTTTTGTTATGTGAACATGCAAAAGTTAATGATGCCGCTCATTATGGTACTTTACAATGAAATAGACATTCAAAGTATTTCATCAACAAATTCTAATTTCTTACTGTTAAGCCAATATCAGTCGCCCCCTGTGCAAATGCATTCAGGTTTTCACTTGTCAGTCTACAGTCGGTAAAATGCACAATCTTTGCTTTTGTAGTTGAAGCAACTTTAGCAAATTCATGGAATGCTTCGGTGTCTATGGTCTCGTTTTGCAGGTGCAAATGATTGATCTGCAAAAATATTATATAGAGATTCACTTTAATTAAGCATAAAAACAGTTAGTTTCGATTGCTCAGAATATATTATACATATAGAATACCATGCATAATGATAACATGAAAAAGAAAATGTTTTTCTGACTCAACTCGCGGCCAAACCACGCTGAAGGAGATTTCTACCAATATTCGGAGCTGACAGAGTTTTAAAATGACAGTACTTTTAGATAGCAGAACAATAAGATTTTTTTCACAGCTTTAAGAGGAATGACTTAGTTTTTGTTTGATTCTATATTCTGCCTGATAAAAAAATAATATTTGACTAGTTGTGTAGCGGTTGACTTTTCCACTCGCAAACTACTGTTGCCCAACAAGTCTTAAACTGCAACAAGTCTAATTATTGTGGATGTTGTAACGCTTAAAAGTACATTGAAAGAAAATATTGTCATCGTAAGGGCTCATGGGTAATTTATATTTAGGATTGTTGGGTTAGATGTGACTTGACATCCTCAAATCGATGGCATTTATGAACTTTCTCACAATACTTTGAACCTTCATCGTTTCGTGCAAGAGTATCTGATATTGGCAGTTTTTTTTAAAGGTTAGTAACATAAGTTAAATATTTTATAATATCTCCGTGAATTTTATTCAAGATCATGGGCCATCCTTATCAAATACCTGAGGTTCCTTTTAAAAAAGTTTTTCTCTCATTTAATTAATAGCGTACATTTGAATTGATCAAATTCTGCGATAAACTTTAACACCTAAATCTGAATGCAAAAAACTTAATTTATGAATTGCCTCGACCATAGGGTCTCAAAGTGCTCCGAACGGAGCCCAGAGGCTCGGAACTAACCGCATGCGACTTTTCCGATCATCGCGAAAATTTCAAAAAGGGTTTACTGGGTAATCCAGCACTTGGTTCACATACGTACGGATTCAAACAATAAGAGCACTATAGGCCTATTTATTTATAGAGTTTCTATTTAGCAATGTCGCCACAGAACTCCATTGCATCTATTTTTGCGTCATAAAACGATTTTTATATTATGTTGTTGATATTTTGATAAACTTATGTTAGATATAATATCGCCGGATGAGAACAGAACAGGCAATTCACAATTTTGAGTTTTGAGAAAAACGCAAAAAACAATTTAAAATTTTTTTATTTTTGAATTTCTAGATATTCACACATAGTAAAGACCTGAGCTCTGGTTATTTTAATGTGGATGTGAATATCTTTGTAATCAATATTTTTTGGCACTTCAGCTTCAATTCCTTCCGGCTTTTTTAACCCCATAATGGACTTTGGCCCATTCTGTACTCAACAACTTCTGAATTTTTTTGTATGGGATGCAAGGTAAAACAAGGTGACTTAGGCCTAAGTTGCACTGAAGAAATTTTTAAGAGATGTAAGTTTCGGACAGTTCATTTCTGATGTTCATGCCCATCATATTGGAACTTAGGACTATCTTTTTTCAGTATTTTGGGGTTTTGAGCCATGCTCTACAAGGTGGTGGTCTTGAAATCCTGAATTTCTCAATAATAAAAATTTTAGCTGGACCTAGGACTGTAGAAGTAAAGAACAGAATGGGCCTAAGTCCAGCTAAAATTTTTGATAATATGAAATTCAGAATTTCAAGACCACCACCTTGTAGAGCATGGCTCAAAACCCCAAAATATTGAAAAAAGTGAATTTTGCAAAAATGTGACTTGGGCCCCTTCTGTTCTCATCCGGCGAATTATGACGATTTAAACAAATTCTTAACTGTGTGAAATACAAAATTTTCAGTTACAGGTTATATATGCTAACAAATCAAATGAATTGCATAGATAGTTTAAGAAATTCGAAGCTCTAATAAAACATCATGTCACAGGATAACTGACAATATAACAAACATTTCAGGCCACGAGAGTTGATGAATGAAAAAATAAATAAAATTTGAATATTTTTAATAAACAGGTTTACAATAGAAGCACGTTTGAAAATAACAAGACGAATTTATTAATTATTATAAGATTCGTTTCTACTTGGTAAGTTATTATTGTTATTTAAAAAAAAATTGAAGTATTGTTAGGGTAAGAAACTGATCAAATAATTTTAATTAGTAAATTTTGTCAAGTTGTTGGAGAGTAGAGTTTTTCAACATTTGAGAAAATTTATTTATTTGACTGTATTCAATTTTTAATTTTTTAAATAGAAAATGATTGCAACCAGCAATATTTACTTGAAATGAATTATTGTCACTTTTGAAAAACTTATTGAACAAACATTTAAAATTTAAACAGGACTTCAAAATGAATAACAGGTTCTACTATATAAATATATATATTAGTTTAAATATATTGTTTCCATATTCATATTTAATTTAAGCTTTTTATTATTTTCCATGCTGTAACCAGTACAGTTTTTTGCGTCTTCCTTCATACTGAAATGCTATTCATAATGAAATGCTATTTTCCAACGTATATGTACGTTATGTCTTTTCAGCATTGGTAAACAAAAAGTTACTGTTTACTGAATACAGTTCGAAATTGCACTAAGTGACCCCTGAGCTTGAGACTACTCAGCCTAATAGTTAATTGTTCCACAAAAAAAATATAGGAGGTCATGATCTTTTCCAACATATTATAAAACAGGACCTATTCAGATTTTTCGATAGATCCAGGTGGGAATTTACTCCGCACTACCAAATACCCCAAACTATTTTGCGCATTCCGTACACTCTAATACATCAATTTTATTTCTTTGTATGAAGCCGTAAAACTCGTCTGATTATTATAGGTTTAGAATTGGCATAAGTGCTTCGTTTTTGTTTTATATGATGGGGAACCACATTCTGTTAACAACAGTTTCGCTTTTTATATTCTAAGATAAATGGATTGATCCAAGACGTAACGATACACTTAAAAAAGTTTTCATTTTGTTCGAAACTGTACATTGAATAACTTCTTATTCTTAGTAATACCTAAATCATACGAAACTTGAAGATAAGATATAGAACGCAACTGAATACTTTATTTTTTCCTCTCATTCAGAATTGTTGCCGCATATTCAAGTCGCTCAGTCAAATATAACAAACTTTTTAAATTAATCGGTAATTGGATTTGAGCCACAAAGCTTTATCTCAATCAATCTTCGTATAAATCGTATGTTTAAAACTCATCTGGCGCGATTCAAATTTGAAAACACATTGAAACAAATTATTAACAAATTCTATCAAAACAACAACAAGTTTTTAACGTTTTACTTTCAAGTCACAATGAATGGCTCCCGTCCTCAATGCATTTAGTTTTTCACTTGTCAGATTGCAGTTGTGAAACGTCAGTATGTCTGATTTTGTAGTTGACGCAACCTCAGCGACTTTGTGGAATGCTTCGCATTCCATGGTATTGTCTTCGATTATACAATTGATCTGTAAAATAAATATATAATATTAATACAAGAACAACTTTTTCTAATCATTTTGTTATCCCTTCGAATAGAATATATTCTGCAAATGGTAATGACATTTAAATGAGCATTCAAAATAATGAGCGCTTAATGAGAAAAAATTTATGCATCATAATGCAAGCATATCGGCATGTCAGAGAACCTTCGATATAAAAAATTTCATCAACGATATTCTAACTTCTTACTTTCAAACCAAAATCGGTGGCTCCCTGTGCAAATGCATTCAGTTTTTCACTCGTCAGATTACAGTTGTTAAACTGCATTATATCTGCTCCTGTGTTTGAGGCAACTTGAGCAAATTCATGAAATGCTTCGGACTTCATGGTCTTGTCAGATAGGGCAAAGCGATCGATCTGCAAAAATGTTATTGAACTTACTATTTTCAGCATAGAAGTATTCGTTTCATATTACATTGCGATTTGATATGCACGCGAGTCAACAGGCAACAACTTGCAGTTTTGTGCATTTGCGTCTGATGGAAGTCTAGCTAATAATATATTATTTAATATAATATATTTTCTTAGTATTCAATTTTCCTTCGAGATGGAAATTCAATTTTAACTTTTCTCCTATGTCGGGGATGATCAAATAATACGTGGCGTAGACGTACATGTGCACAGATATATACTATCGCGACTGGGAGAATATGCATAAATATAGTTTACCGACTTATTACAGATGTTTACGGCAAAATGATTACGTCACACCCACGAAACAATCCGCAATTCAAACGGTGTTAACCATGTATAAATCACTCTCGTATTTATCGTTATTATAGTGCATGTTTTGTTCTCCACGCCACTGGCTACGTTACTGCTATGACCTAGTTTCGACAGCCACCTTGTGAAGAACTCCATTTTGCATTTTACATTGTCCTAAAATACAGTTTTTAATCTGTCGTTGGCCTCCTTCGAACAAAATTTATAGGTATATCGTTTTATTTTTAGTATTTTATAATTCCGTTTTTCAATCTAGGAATTATTGTTTGTGTAATCACTACTTTATTATCTCTGGAATTTCGTTGCCCGTGATCACATGATAACTCGTTTTTCGCTTAACTTAAATTTCCGGTCTAGATCAAAAACCAAGACTCATGGCATATGACATACATATGTCTTAGGATATGTGTAATATTGGGAGAATTAATACGGACATAGAGATGAATGTTTACGGCCTGGAAACACGCCCAGTGGCGTAGCCAGGGGGGTGGTTTTGCGGGTCGACCCCCCCCCCCCCCCTTTTGAAATGTAAAAAAATAAAATCATTTTTCTGTATCATAATTAGCAATTATCCGCAGCTTGAAATGCTTTTTAGGCCACCACGACTAGTAAAAACACACGTATTCCAGCAGTTTCGATCTATCTTGGCAAAAAAAAAATTTCAGACCGACACCGACGAAAACAATCGTCACCTAGAAAAAATTAAAATTAGAAAAAATCTAAAAAATTGGTACTCCTGAAGTATGCGCACCAAGATGTCACACAACCTGAACCCTAACCTGGTACACAACCTGAGTTCAGGTTGTGCGCCATCTTGGAGCCCATACTTCAGGAGGTTCAAAATAATTACATTTTATGTTTGTTCGTTTGATATTTTCTTTCGAATGAGGTACAATACCCATTGAAGGTATTGAATTTTTTTTCTTTAATGAAAGAAATCTAAGCAATTTATTGACAGTGTACCTTATTATATAAACCCGTCTACATATGCTCCGTAAAATAGGGAATTCAAAAAACTTTACGTATTTACAAAAATGTGGTATGTTCGAGCGCCAATATAACATTTGAGAATATTCGTGAATTTTCTGCAAAAAATGGACACGATATTCTCACAGTTGAATATTTTTTTAAAGAATATTATTGTCCCAATTAATTAAGAACCCTTTACCCGAGAAAACATTATTCGAAACAAAATATTTTCCGTTCTTTATTGTGAGCAGTACGTTTCATAATAATCATTCAGCTAAAATTTTTGCTTAGTTAAAATGAACCCGAAGTTATCAGTAAATTTTGCAATGTCAAATGTAAATGTGAATCCTCTTACATCTGCTTTAATCAGTCCATTTTGTATGGTCGGTCATTCTTGTAAAATGATTTTACTGGTATATCAATACACCTAAAATTTCACACATGGCTATTTAAAAGAGTATTTTGGCGTTCTAATCGGTGAGAGGAGGCTGAAAAATCATTGCCAAGCAATTCGACAGCACGTATGCGAGTCAACAGGCGACCACTTGCAGTTTTGTGCATTCGCGTCCAATATAGGGCCAGATAATATACGGAATTCTGTTCATATTAACTCTCTTATTTATACGAAAATTTATGTTGACTTCCTTCCTATGTCGGGGATGATCATATAATACACGTTTTTCACGCTGAAGGCACGTCCTAGCCCAAAACGTACATGTACATGCAGAGGGATGCTATCGAGAAGCGGGAGAATTTACGGAAATATAGTTTACCGACATATTATCGATATACACGGCGAAATAATCACGTCACACATGGAATATAAGGATTTTAATATTGCCGCTTTTCAATATAGGAATCGCCGACGATTATAAAATACCCGGCCGAGACAAAAAAACTATTTATTGTCGTCCTCGTGGCATAAGACATAAATACGTCGTGGAAATGTGTGATATGGGGAGAGTTAATACTAACGTAATACGAACACGCCACACTAACGGAAACAATCAGCAAGAATTGATTTTTTGTTTAAAGATCTTTTTACTGTGACTCGACTCTCTATAAAATCCTTTGTGTGTCATAGCCGGCGTGCTATTTGTATGAAGAAAAAAAATCTAAAAATGAAAAAATCTGAAGAATAGGAAAATAGATAAAATTTACAAATTAACAAAAATGTGAGAACACGAAATATGTTCAAGAGTCAACATAATAAATAAAGTTTAAAATATAAAATATTTGTGAATTTAATGCCAAATAATAGGCCATGATTTTTTCACTGCTGGTGTCCTTTTTATAGAACATTATTGTTCAAGTTAATAGCCTCTATTTTATTTGATCGAACTTTAGAAGACATTATTTCACTTATATATATATATATTACACCAATATTTCCACTTATATATTCCATATATATAAATATTCATATACTCCCATATTTCCGAATGCAAAAACTCAAATAGAAAGTTCATCTGCAAATATTTCAGAAATTTCACATTGCATTTGACATCTCAATATATATTCGTATAAAACACGCATGCGTGGAGAATTAAGTTCGATCATCTTTGAATCCACGTACATTTGCAACCGTACATTTGTACCCGTAACTTGCATCCAGGACAATTGCTCATGCGCACTTTCACACCCACGGACATTTGAAGCCATGAACAATTTCACCCGCAGATTTTTTTGCACCCACATACAGATTGCACCCGCGAACATTCAAACCCATGTACATTTGAGCCCACGAACATTTGCACCCATGTACATATGAACCCACGTACATTTACATGGCATTTTCCAGCCGTAAACATATACATACACCCATGGGTATCACTCTTCGAAGTAAAAGAGGTTCAATTGTCATCTGCGCCGAAATAGCGACATTCTAATGCTATGCGTAGTTATGAAGACAAACCCACTGCAGACCCGAACGCGATTAATTTATTTGGCTTTTCATCCATTAACAAAGACCGAGGAAAACAACCAGCATCGGCAGGCGCGCAGCTAGGATTTTCAAAAGGGGGGTTTCAAAATCGAAAATTTTCAGTGCCGTCTGTAACAGTCACCAAGAACACGCGCTCGTTAATAGAGCCGCCTTTTCAGCGTATTATGAATTTCCTGTTGCCAAAAATATTAAAAAATGCCAACTACGAGATTCTAAAATGTCCTTATATATTAATTTAATTGTGTCCAACGTAACTCGCGGTTGCGACTTCTTACGTGAAAATAGAAACATTACTGCAGTAAAATATCACGGCGATCTGTGGACATAAAAATATGAGACAAGCTGCCTGATGTATTTAATTTTGATACGTATTTTTGCAATCTTGCGACCTCGTTATCGCCTTTAGTAAAATCTCGATATCTGATATAAAATCACGTTTAGTATATACAATTTTACTTCATAACAATGAAAATAGATATAAAGCATACTAGTAAATCAAAAATACAAATCCACCGCCGCGATTGCGCGACTTGTTCAAAGAGCCGACTTTTTCAACGAAAAAAGATTTTTCTGTTGTGCAAAGTAATCAACCCATGGCCGATAAGGGCACATTTGAAATGTCCTGCTTTATTAATTTAATTGTCTTCAATTTAACATGCGGTTGCGTCGTCAAAACAAGAGCCGCTCTAACTAACACAACACCGAATTCCGCGGACATAAAAATGTGTGGTAAACTGACCGATTGTATATTGTTATTTCTTGAATTCGACAAATTTGAGATGTACTCGAAAATTACTTTTGTCGTCTTAACAGTAACCCCCTTAACAACCGCCGCGATTACGGTACTCGGTAAATGCGACTTTTAGCTCATATTGATTTATCGGTTGCGAAAAATATATATTTTTTATGAAGACATTTGAAACGTTAATGTAGATATCTGAATATAAAAAACATACTAAACAAGAACAAGTAAATAGTGTATAAAACCCATGGAAACCACGGACATCCAAACAATACCATATAAACACACAACATACCGAACATAATAAAATATATTAGGTTGATACTGCTTTACGCGTCACAAATGATTTAATGTAACTTGTTAATGTAACTTGTAAAAACATGTTTCTTATGATGATGCGGCATCGAAAGTATAATTTATAACTGCAAAATGCCGTGCCATAGTAATCACATTATACTTCAATGCGCGATTGCGATTGCGTGTAACTCGATCGTGTATCCTAATTTATAGGCGCGCCATGTTAGACGACGGTACTATTCTTAAATTGGCCAGCGCAAACATGTGTGACAAATTGCTCGATCATGTCTGATTTTCATTCGGTCGTGAATGTCTCGATTATAGGCTGTTTCGTGACATTTATCCGATTCTATCGCTTTGCTACGTAACCTTACTAATGTAATAATCCCATGATGTTACTAGTAAATTCTTTAACTATCATCAATTGTTTTTTTCCAAATAGGATCATGTTTTCGTTACAATTTAAATGCTTTGAATCGATAATTTCAAATATGATAATGATCTGAAAAAATATGGGCGGTCCCGTCGGAAATTGAAAAAAACTTGAAAAATAAAACAATTGCGTGTGTAATAAATTGTGTCGAGTTGCATTCGAGTTCGCCAAAAGTTAAATATTATACTCGGGCGTATTTTCGTCCTATGGAAATCAGTGACGATCTCGTTATAATGTCAGTGACAATATAATTATATTGTTCACTTCAAAATTAGGGAGTTAATTTTACAGCAGATGCCAGAATGTGATTACAATCGGTAAGGTTAGGAAGCGTCAAGTTAGCGTATAGTATTAACATTTGTTGATTGACAGTCAGATCGGGGTTGCGTATTAACTACATTTATTACCTTCGAATCGCCGCGGCTCGCGTGGTAACGCGTTTCTCTCACCGAAAGCACGGTACTGCGAGAAAAACTGATTATCGTGGATTAGTCGCACACAAAGGATATACTTTGTTTTACAAAATTTACGGAACCGATATAAAGATGATGTAGAATAAATAATCACCTAACGCTTACGAAAACACTAGGCCAGTAGTTCTTAAACTGGGTTCGATCGAACCCCTGGGGTTCGGTGGAGCTGTTCCAGAGGTGCGACGAAGGTGCTCTGAAACAGTTGCATATTATGAGACTTTTTTATCACCCTGCATACTAATTATGCAAAAATAACTATAGTTCATGATGACTAATTACTAATGACTTGAACAATTGAATGAAACAATTAATTGGTGTTACCCTTATTCATATTCATATTCTACCGTACTAATAAAATTTAACTCAATTTTACGGATAAATCGAAGATAGGCAATAATTGTACATGAATGAATGCAAAATCAGAGCGTGTTTGAATTTCACTAGGTGTTAAATTTTAGGGATGGGACGAGTCCGGCATTACAGAGATTCGACGAATCCGAGTAATAGGTCAAGGACTCGAATCGAATCCTTCGAGTCCGTGACGTCACAATGTAAAAGTAGAAAAACACGTTTTTGACCATATTACAGCATCGCGCGCTCACAAACATATGTCGTAGCTCATATTTTTTGCCTAATGGTTCCGCAGATAGCTGTTTGATCAATTTAGAAATATATTTTTATTTTTTTTCGGCAACCATAATACAAACGTGGGTCAATATGCGCCTTGGCTGTAAACTGGATTTCCAGCCCACCACCTTGCGTCAATTCTGGGCGGCTATTCATAAATTCTTACATGTCAATATGAAAAATAAAAAGCTTTTGACTACAATGCTTCCCCATAATTCCAGATATTTCTAGCCTTAAATTTACTGTGTGGCGTGCGCAAATGGTAGAGAGATGCCACTCGTCGTCAACACAATGATTGCAATTTAGTAGTTCATGTAAACGTTTTAAAACGCTCCATGCTTTCCATTGCTCCCTTTTTATAGGAAGGATTGCACGTAATAAACTCGATTTAAAAGAGGTATTTATGAGATTCCCCATTGAGTTGATCCAGAGCTTGCTTCATTTTTACGCGAATCGAAAACTCAAAAATATTGCGCTAACACATATTTTATTGTGTACCAAAAATGATAGATAGTTTGAAGGCAACTGGCGCAACATCATTGTTATAAGCGATCAATAGTTTTAACATGCGTTATATTATCTGGATATCCGTTGTCGCTTTTATTAGAAGTGTTTATAGTACACGTGAGGGATATTGTTACAGAATAAACCTTGAATTTTAACTCGTTAAGATATGTAGTGAGATTTATAGAGGCAAAAGTACGAATATAGGCGTAAATTAGTAAAAACAGAATTGATTAAAGACTCGGTAAAAACGACGTGGACTCGGAATCGAATCCGAGTCCAAAAAATGCGTGGATTCGACTCGAATCCGAGTCCGGATCCGAATCCCGGCCCATCCCTATTGCGACAAGGAATTGTTTATCGCAGAGCTTTATCCGAAATTATTATGATCCATTCAGGACAACCTCGATATGGCATCGAATTAATCCTATCTCTATTTCTGTAAAATAAAACAATTGGCAAACGATTTTATTCGCATTTCAGCGCAGTTTAAAGTTTGAGAACAAATTGCTTGAACTACCAACGTTTATGGAGTATATTATCATCTTTCGGATTTTCAAAGTTATTTTTTATCAGTTTTCGCCGGTTCACCAGCAAAACTTATACAACAAAAACCATCTATCTGCTCTTTCTGCCGCCAACGCCATTGTGACAAAACAATGGTTATTCCCACATGGTTATTGATATCTAAGGTTTCATCACAATGTTCATATTATACAACCTTGCAAGAATTAGCTTCCGCTTTATTACGTTACGGTTTGGCTTCTAAATTCAACCGTTCAGTACGATGGTGTTCGGCGGGAGCTTGGAGAATAGCGCAGGGGTTCGGCAGGCTCACAAAGGTTAAGAACCACTGCACTAGGCGATTATAATAAAAAACTCCCGCGTAAATTTTGTGCGCATTTGGATTTTTTTAGTTTTCCGAAAATTTCAAAAGGGGGGGTTTCGAACCCGACCACCTGCGCCACTGAGCATCGGTATAGACACCATTATTACGCAATAATATGAAGACTATAGGAAAATGCTGTAAACAAATTGTTCCAAAATCATGCTTTCGTCGAGTAGAAGTCGTTTCTCGCTTTCTGTTTTTCTCCCATCCAACCGTTTTTTTCGAAACACCACTTACTTGTTTTGCACAATTAATTCATATACGACCACTTTTCTTCCCTACTAACCACCGCACATTCGGCTACATTTGCGTTATTTCATCGAAAGAAAATGATTCATAGAAGAGGGAAAAGTTTATAACTATAGGAATAAAATAACAACGTAGCGACCCTCATCAAGAATAGGACTACTTAAAAATTGTAATCAGTTTCCATTTCGAATATTTATTTATAGTTGGTAATTGAAGTTTGTGTGAAACACGGTTATTCGCGAACATGACTATGAGTGCGTTTATGAGGCACATGCCTATGCGTGAGAATGTCATGGGTACAAAAGTCCGTGAATGCAGATGTTCATTGGTAGAAATGTAAGTGGATGAAAATGTCCATTAGTGAGAATGTACGTGGGTGCAAATGTACTTGGGGGCAAATGTACATGGGTGCAAACGTCATTGGGTGCAAATGTGCATAGCTTCAAATGTCCGCGGGTGCAATCTATATGCGGGTGCTACAATCTATGGGTGGAAATGTATGACTGCAAATGTCCACGGGTTCAAATGTCGGTGGGTGCAAATATATGCAGGTGCAATGATCCCGGGTGCAGTTTACGGGTGCAAATGTACGTGGGTTCAAATGTGCTGTCACCGAAAAATACAATTAAAACACACTCTGATACGAATAATTTTTAAAACTAATTGAAGAATAAAAGGTTATACTATGATATTCCAAGTTCTTACTTTCAAACTGAAATCAGTTGCTCCTTGTGCAAATGCCTTCAGTTTTTCATTTGTCAGATTAGAGTCGATAAACTGCACTTCACTTGTTTTAACAGTTGAGGCAACTTGTGCAAATATATGAAATGCTTCGAACTTCATGGTCTCGTCAATTAGGCCTAAAGTATTGATCTGCAAAATAAATATGAAACTATTAAATTCAATTTAACAATTAGTTTTTATTACTTTGAAAGCAAATGCATGGGCAAATATGATTATATTAGAACGTGTACTCGGAGTAAAAAAAGCGTTTTTAAACTATGCTAAACAGTCACACGATTTCAACAATATTTAACAATGGTTTTACTTTTCTTTCATTAAAATTAGTAGCATATCTGCACATTTAAAAACAATTCCCTGTCGCGTACATCTTGTTGTTCTATCCGACATAGCCGAACAATATACTTATGTTATAAGTAAACGATACGACGCCAAAAACACATGACAAATGTCGGTTTTTTAAATAGTTCTGATGACTACCACCTGCTGACATTTGCACCCACAAACTTTTGCACCCACAGACATTTGCAACTACGTAGATTTGCACCCATGGACATTTGCAACCAAAGACAATTGCACCCATGTACATTTGCTCACATGGACATTTGCAACCAGGACAATTGCACCCACAGACATTTGCAACTACGTACATTTGCACCCATGAATAATTGCACACATACATTGACACCCGCAGATTATTGAACCCACATACAGATTGCATCAATGAGCATCGGCACCCACGGAAATTTACATCTACCCGACATTTGCACTCACGAACATTTACACCCGCGCAGATTTATTCCAACCTAAAATAGCACCCACGTATATTTGCACCTGGTTCATTTGCACCCACGGATATTTGCACCCGCGTAGACTTGCTCCAACCTAAAATTGCACCCACGTACATTTGCAACCATGAACATTTGCACCCACAGATATTTGCTTCTATGGACACTTGCACCCATGGTGAACTTTGGCACCCGCAAACATTTATACCCTTGGATAACGGTCTTTGAAGTAAAAGAGATGTTATTGCCATTTGCGCCGAAATAGCGACATCCATCCTAGTAATGAAAACGACCTCACTGCAAACTCAAACGTGATCAATTTAGATTTCCATCCATTAACACAGATCGAGGAAAACCACCTGCAACCGTATAGAACCTATTACGACGCAACAATAAATAGTGGAAAATTGATGTAAACAATTTGTTCCGTATTATAAACCATGCTTTCGTTGAGTCGAGGCCGTTTCTATCTTTCTTTTTGTTTTCTTCTTCAACACTAACTGGATTAATTTATGTATAACCACGTTTTTCGTCATCGTCTGTCTACTAACCAATCCTTGATTTAAATCTTATTCTCACAGCTTCTAACAAGATCTCCGCTAATAGTTGAGGCCCGCAGTCATGCAACTGCTTGCCATTCATAGGAAACTTGAGAATCTGCAACGGCGGCGCGATTAAGTAAATGATCTGATTGTCAAAAGGGCCAGTTCATTTTGAGCGATGCTCGTTTTGTTGACATACTTGCGTGACAGATATGCGATATGCGGTGGGTAAAAATGAAAAAAATAATGTTCATTAAAATCCCTAAGGCTTCTACAGTTTATGAAGTAGAAACAGACAGATATATAGACAGACAGACAGATAGAGGGACAGATAGACTTAAAATTCTATAGTAATACCTTGATAAACACTAAAAAAATGTAAAACTCTTTTTTCAAAAAAACAAAAATGTTATATTTCAATTTTAAAATCCTTAAACCTATTTTGCAGCTGGATCCGGTTTGCTTTGCATAATAAAACTCATACTATGAACTGTATAGCCTACTTATATTTATATTTCCGATCCCATTTGAGGAAATATTTGATAATAGTTAACAATGCTCGTTTTTTTACCATCTACTTTGCTTGATTGAACAATTGGTCTATGATTCGGAGAATGTAATTTTCATATATTTCTGGAGACGGGGTAATCGACAAGATATCATCAAAAGACGATATATAAGCAATATAAATGTTGACCTTCTGTTTGAAAATCATTCTTCCGCTAAAATTTCCCGGTTTCACTGATGTCGGTTTAATCTCGGAGTTGTCTCGACGTTTACCCATACATTAGGAAACCGAATTTCTAGTTGGGAAATTTTTTGTAAATAAAGTCTAATTGTCTGATGCGCTGTTAAAATTTCAATTTTCTTGAAAATAATTTGATATATAGTCAAAATACTTTTGTACTTAAAAATTTGTTTCTCAAAGATTTTAGAAATTTAAAATTATTGAGTTGAAGATGTAGTGCGATTGGACAGCATTTCATTAACTATAAGAAAGGCAAAATTAAATTGCGTAATATTTTAAAGAATTTCAGGACACATTTTCAACTTAATTATAATTTAATCAAGCAAATATTTCTGAATACAAAAACTCATTAATGAGTCCCTAGTTTTTTTTCCACCTTGCATTTCATATTTCAATAAATACAAGTTTAAATATCGCGTATAAATAAAATGCACTATTCAGTAAGATTTATGTTGAACATTGAATAATTATTAAAAAAGATTCATCAACGATATTCTAACTTCTTACTTTCAAACCGGAATCAGTTGCTCCTTGTGCAAAAGCATTGATTTTTTCACTCGTCAGATTACAGTTGCAAATCTTCACCGTATTCGAACCTGTAGTTGAAGCAACTTGAGCAAATTTATGAAATGTTTTGGACTCCATAGTCTTGTCTGATAGGAAAAATTGATTGATCTGCAAAATGAATATTAAACATGCTGTTTTGAGTAAACAAGTATTCATTCACTTGTTTTTTCATTACCAACATCCAGCTTCGCATTCAATCGGGCAAAAATCTCAGGTCTAAATGCCATACATTCTCTCGACTCCACCCAGAGTGTACTATACTGAGCATGCAGCCAATGTCCAACCGAAATAAAAACAGGTCCTTCTCATCTCTAGTATCTCCTAAACTTGTGAAGAGTTTTATTGGGATTCATAGACGCATAAATACGTCGTATAAACACACAAGAAGGTCTAAAATGAGTGATATTACAAGTGTGAATATTATAAAAAGTACAATTGTTAGTTTTATGCAAAATTGTATTAGGAGGTCCAGGTTTGGACTCCCTGTCAGTCGTCTAATTTGACTTCACTACCATTTCCGACAATGGTTTCTTTTTTGTTTTTCATTTTTTTTATTTTTCCAGTGTGTGTATAAATTTTGTTTGTGATATTTAGTACATTTTTACAATTAACATGGGCCTAATTACACGCTTGATTGCTGCACGTAATGTTCTTGGGTCGTTGAGCCATTTGATACCTGAAATAGATATACCAATACTGCGACATCAAATTCTAGTACAAGTTTGAAGAAAATAAACTAAAAATGAACTGCAGATATTTGGTAATGAGCAATGAATTATGTGTGCCACTGTCTACTTTTCTTTCACTATTTTCATAGGACAAATTTCTAGATAAATCTCAGCCTGCTAAATTATACGCATCAATGTTATTTTCAAAAGGCTTAAAATTTTGAAAATTATGGAAATATTTACAAGTTAATAAACTGATCTTTAATAAACTCCAAAAGGAAATATTGTACCTGAACGCAAAATATATTTCTTATATATCTCACGTATGATAGTGCAATCTCAGTGAGTATTAATTGTAATTAATCTTGTATAAAATGTGTTATATGGCTTTAAATTCATTAATTTTATTAAGAATGTGGCATATCTATTTTTCTGCTTAGGAATATCCGATGTCCCAAATTTGCATTTTCTATATAGATATGATTTTTCAGGCCGATCTTTCCAAATTTTCGTTCAGACAAATTGGTTTGAAAAATTTAGAAAAACGAAATTTCACTTATTTCACTGTACAGTGCAATACTACTTGATACAATGATTTGGTAAAACGAAACTACACTGTATTGCACTGTACCGCGCACTGTGTTGCACAAAACACGAGACATGGAATTTCGGGCGATAAATTTCATTCGTCTTATAACACTCATAGTTTAAACGATCTGCCATTCTTTGCGTCCAATTACGAAGCTTGTTTGTTTCACAGCACTCTCTCCATGTAGGACAAATTTTCTAGGTGATGATGAAATTATTGAAAATGTTCATTTTAAGCTAGGAAAACGATGTATGTACTGCGCTACATGTTAGCACATACTCAAAATTTGGTTATTTTAATAATAAGAAAAAATAAAGAATTTTTACATTTTATTTTAGCAGTTTTTCTGAGCAAATAAATAATCTGATTAGAATGATTTCAAGGCAATATAGCACAATTATCCAATAAAATAACACAGTCGCAATGCAAACCGCACACAATTACGTTCAATCACGAATATGAAAAAACGGGTTACGATAAAAGATAGTCGTGGTTATTATGCAAGAGCATGGCCATGACTTCCATGTAGATCAGGTGGTTACTTTAGAATGCTTTGTCACATTTAATAACACAGATTTTAGCTGATAGAATTTCAGTAAAATCGAATAACGTACTTTTTACCTTATTGATTTTTAGAATACATTTTCAACATAATTATAATTTAATCACACACATCTTTCTGAATACAAAAAGGCATTATCGTAAAAGAATTCTTAGTCTTCTTCAATGGCGTAATCTTTTACCTGATAAAATTTCAGAACACATTTTCAACTTAATTTTATTTAATCAAGCAAATATTTCTGAATATAAAAACTCATTATTGAGTCCCTAGTCTATTTTCCACCTTGCATTTCATATTTCAATAAATACACGTTCAAAGATCGCGTGTAAAGAAAATGCACTAATCAGTAAGATTTCTTTTGAACATTGAATAAATATTGAAAAATATTCATGAACGATATTCCAACTTCTTACTTTCAAACCAAGTTTGATGGCTCCCTGTGCAAATGCATTCAGTTTTTCACTTGTCAGATTACAGTCGCTAAACTCCACAACATCTGCTCCTGTGCTTGAGGCAACTTGAGCAAATTTATGAAATGTTTCGGACTCCATGGTCTTGTCAGATAGGCAAATTCGATTGATCTGCAAAATGAATAATAAAGATACTGTTTTGAGTGAACAAGTATTCATTCACTTTTTTCTTTTACCAACAACCATGCAGCTTTGCATTCAATTAAATCGTTGGCAAAAATCTCGGGTCTAAATGCCACCGATTCTCTTTACCTCACTCAGGGTGTACTATACTGAGCATCACAAATTACAAGTGTTAGTTTCACGCAAGGTTGTATCAGGAGGTCCAGGTTGGGACTCCCTGACAGTCGTCTAATTTGACTTCACTCCCATTTCCGACACCGGTTTCTTCTTTGTTTTTCATTCTCTCTTTTTTTTCAGTGTGTGTAAAAATTTTGTTTGTGATCTTTAGTACATGTTTGATCATTAAAATGGGCCTAATTACACGCTTGATTGCTGCACGTGATGTTCTTGGATCGTTTGAGCCATTTGGTCACTGAAATATTTCTACCAATACTGCGGCTCCAAATTGCAGTACAAGTTTCCTGAAAATCAAGAAAAAATGAACTGCAGAAATTTGGCATATAGTTTGACAACTCGTTTTTATTAGAGAACTTAATTTAAAAATACCGAAATCTTGAACCTGCACTAGCTTTGATTAACATGACGACACTTAATCCGATTGAAAATTCGTTTGGAAATGTTGTCCCTACCAAAGTTTATTCAAAGTATTTCTATGCTCATGGAAGCCGAAGTACTTCATTTTGTCAAAATATTGAGCAATGAATTATGTGCACCCCTGTCTACTTTCCACTATTTTAATAGGACAAATTTCTAGATAAATCTTAGCCTGCTGAATTATACGCATCAACGTTATTTTTAAAAGGCTTCAACTTTTGAAAATTATAGAAATATTTACAAGTTAATAAATTGATCTTTGATAAACTTCAAGATGGCACTATTGTAACTGAACGCAAAATATATTTCTTATA